TGTCACAAACGAATCAAATCCCAGCTCAAAATTGGTTCCGTGTCTTTCCTTCGCTTTTGCTCTTGGAAGGCTCTTCCAAAACTTCACTGGTTAGAGACTTTATTTCAGTTTTCTAGTTTGAATTCGCTCGTGGCTGGTTCATTCCTGGTTTATTTTGGAGCCAACATTGTCCTTTAACTTAAATAGTTTTTGGTGTTTATCCGCTGATGTATTTATGGAGAGTAGCCGTAGCTCCTTATTTTTGCCAAGCAAACTCGGCCAAGCTTTTTCAGTAGAAGGTTTTTATTTAGTGAGAGCTTTTTCATGTGGGAGACTTTATTGTTGGTGGTAAGTGATATTTATTAGAAGGGTGGGTAGCGAGCCCCAAAGGATCGAATGCAGAGATTTACAAAAAAAAAAATCTGGTTTGAAAACAAAAAAGCTCTTTCAGAACCTCTTCCAAAGATGGTGTCTGATTTCTACCTTCCACTGGCCCTTGCTTTCCCAGTTCTTTCTGCAGCCCTGCTTTGAGAGGCCGCCTTCCTCAGCTGCTAGGAGGGGTTTTATCTGCTCAGTGCTTTCCTCTTGCCTGGGGGGACGTGCCTACATGGTGGGTGCTGGTGCCTGAGCTCCTGGGGCTCCCCGGGCACACGGTGTAGCCCCCGTGGCCACTTGGGGCTGTGGCAGGAGGTGGCCACCACCCTTAGCAGGCAGAGAGCTGGGGCCACCACCCTTAGCAGGCAGAAGGACCCTCCCCAAAAACTCTGTGAGCAGGGGTGGTGGTGACCTGGAGCACCCTGCTGTGACACCAGCCCCCCCAAATTTCTCTTTAGAAGCACTGTTGCTGGTTGGAAGCATAACCAGCAGCCAGCCCACCTCGGCCTCGTGTTGTCTGAGTCTGAAGCAAAGGCAGCCAGAGAACCCTGGGGGTTCAATCCTGCACACCCCAAAATGCCACGGGTGGCAGGAGGATCTGGGGGGGGGTCCTTGAGCTGGAGGGAGCAGATCTGGGAGCTGCGTGGCCCCAGAGTAGGAGTGTCTGTACCGTGTTACCTTCAGAGAACAAATACAGGTAGGTCCATTTACTCTCTAGTGTCTATGTACCTGCAGGTTTATTTAAGTACACATATATACAGTTCAGATATGCCATTGATTCTTTGTTGCATTAAGATGTACATGAGAAATGTACACTTTTACTAACTAGTTGCTATATAAATATGTTGGAAGTGTAGTTTGCCCATTCAAGGTGATTTTCTGTGGGGTTTTTGGCGTACACTTAAGGGCCTGTGGCTAATTGGAAGAGTGATCCCCGCTCCATCTACAGAAATGCTTAAGGACTATGGTATGAACTGGTCCCTTCAAACCATTTTTCCACGCACTAGCCAAAACGTTTTGCACTTGGATTGTATTTGGCCAGTTTTCCAGAAAAAAAAAATTGAAAAGAGAAGTCTTGTGAGCCGGAGGGAGAATTTCCCGGTGTACACAGAAAAACCAGCCTTGAGGGCTGGAAGCTGCTGAGGTTTTTGAGCTCTGTCTCCATGCATTCATACAAGCACAGCAGGAGTATTCTTTCTTTTGGGTTGGAGGAATTTTAAAAAGCAGTTCCATGCAGACTCCCCTCGGCCACGGCGACGGGGCTGGTGAGAGGGGGAGATTTGGAGAGAAAACACCCAAAAGTAACCGAGTTCCCTTTTGAACTCCTACATTCCTCATTATCTGCCTGTTTTTTTTAGTTGACTTGAAATCTCTACGCAAGTATAAGCTGAAAATTTCGGGGGGGTTTAGCTCCGTTTCCCTCCTGGATCCCTTTGGAAGCTGAGGAGCAGCAGGTGTCCTCTCCAGACAGGCTCCAGGTTTGGTGCAGGACGTTAGAAACGTGTTTGAAACCGAAAGGAATAACCCAGAGGTGGCTTGACAGTCCCAGCAGCAGCAATGCTGGTGTTCAGAGGAAATGTCAGCACAATTCTACACGCTGTGTGACTATTTATCATCATCTAATCAGAGATGACTGTCTTGACTTGAAAGGAGGGGTGGAAGATAAAGGTCGTGCAGCCGGCGCGGGTGAGGAAGGGAAATTAAATTCTTCCCCCCTGTCCTCTGCGTGTGAGCCTGGGCTTGACAGGCACGTAGAAACTGTCAGGTTTAATCCATGGGAATCTTGTTCCTGCTGTCTGTGAGGCTGCTTAGGTGAAGGGCACGATGCAGCTGCTGAATAACCCCAAACCTGCTTTGTGCCGTGCCCAGCTGGGCCCTGGGAAGGGTTCTCCTGGTGCAAGGAGCAGAGCTGCCTCCTCTGCTGTCCCCCCACCCTGAGCCTGCTGGAGCCAGCCTGTGTCTCACTTGCACAGCTCAGCCCATCCTGGAAGTCATCTGGAAGTCATCCTTTTTTCCCAATGGTTTTTTTTATTTGGAGCAGAACACTAACCAAACCCTGCTTTGCAGGCTCCCACTTCCACTTGCTGCACGTGGGGCCCGTGCTGAGGGGAGTGGCTGCAGCCCCACAGCCCTCCCTGCCCAGGGCTCGAGTGGGTCACCACGAGGTGCCACCAGCAAAAGCAGCAGCTGTGATGAGAAACCCCAGAGCTGAACCTGGAGCTGCACCATACCTGCCTGCTTCAGTTTTGCTGGTGTCCCTTGACAGGTTGGGAGGGAAAGGAGGATGTAGAAGGATCATTTTGCATTTAGGGTATTTTTTTTATTAATGAAAAGCAGCAATTTTTGGTCGCAGGTAGAAGTGTTGTGTTCTGTCTTCCCTGCAGCCCCTCTCTTAGAGACCTTACAGAGGCAACCTGATGGGAAGGTGATGTTTGGAAGCTGGGTGGCTGGGAAGCAGAAGAGAAAGGTGATTTTTGAGCACTTGGGGACACAGGAGGAAGTTAACACAGTGCTGCACCTTCCCCTCAAGTTGGTGGCATTGTAAATGCTTGTAAACTTCTCTCTCCTGCTGCCCAGATGAGTTTGGCTTCACTCTTCAAGAGTGATGCCCCTCAGCTCCTGTTGCAGTTCCTCAGCTGATCACCACCCCAGCAGCAGGGGAAGATCAGGCAACCCCCCCACTGGAGCTGGGGGGACGAGGGGTTTTCAAGCTGAACCTTTTATTTTTTTGCAAGGTTAGCTCCTGCTGTAGGGTTTGCTGGCAGTGGGCCCTGCCAGGGATGCTGGCTTGGCATGGCACAACTCAGAAGCAGAGCGAGGGAGCTCTGTTACCTAAGCAGTGATGGATTGGGTGGTTGTTATTTAGCCTGTTCCAGTGAAAAGTGCTCTGTTGGCTGACATTGGCCATATTTTGATGGCACAGTTCAAGCCACTTTTTCCCTGGACTGCTGGAGGGTGGTGTTAGGAGGCCTCTTGCTTACTGGTGCTAGTGAAGGTTGGGTTAGGAATCCATGGCATAGAAGACTTCTTGCTCCAATTGCACTTTCTCTCTGCCCCATCTGGCTCGTGGTGGTGTCATGGGTACGTGGCTGTGATTCCCCTTGCACATACTAACATTGCACTAAAAGAGAGACTTGGGGAGCAGCGTGTTGATCACCCTGTTCCTCAGCAGACCACAAAGTCAGCCTAACGGGGGTCTCTTTGTTTTGTTTTGTTTTAATTATTGTTATTTAGAAATCATGCTGGTGCTGAATGACCTGGAATTTTTTTGTTTTTTTTTTTCTTTTGGCTTGGATTTATCCAAAGGAAACTGTAACTGTAGCTGCAATGGGACCTTTCATAAGGGTGGCCGTGCAGCTGGGGAGCAGAGCGAGGGCTCTTGCTCCGTCTTTGTACCGGGGAGGTCTGGGGAGGGGGTGTTCCCAGGGGGCTTATTAATATGTTGGGTTTTGTTTTTTTTTGTTTTAAAGACCACGATTTTAGAGGGTCACCTTGGCAATCGTGTGAGGCAGGAAGTAGTTTTTACTTTGGGTAAAGGTTTTAAAGAGGAAAGAAAGAAACAAACCAGCGAAGCTGCCTGTGACTGTGGGCTGTGGCTAGGACTAGGGCTAGGGTAGCTTGTACCTGCTATGGACTTGACCTGCTCTTATTCCGAGGGCAAGAACTCCCTGTAGCAACAATGCCACTTCTGAGAAGTGAATGGCAAGTTTCCCTTCCTTTTGTATATGTGGATGTGAGGGTGGGCGAGGGGAAGAGCTTGCTTGTACAGTTTGTTGAAATGAAACCAGACATTTTTGGTTGTTCCTAAATAAAGAGCGTAAAAGACGAAGGAGAGTTGGCTGGTGATGTGGGGGGGAAGCCCAAGGGATGCCCTGTGCCTGGTGCTGATGCTGGTGATGGGGAGAGCTGCCCCGTGCAGAGGGATCTGGGAGCTGGGAACATGTTTCACAACCCTCACCTTCCATTCCACAGCCCAGCTTCCCCGTGGGGTGAGGCTGGAGCCCAGAGCTCTTTTCCAGCCTGAATGACTGTGATCCTGGGAGCCCTCCTGCAGCCTGGAGTCACCACTTGTCCCCAGAAAAGCAGGGGCAGCTGAAGCACACACCCTTACTTTACCTTTCTGAGTGAAGAGCATTATCCCCAGGGCTGCTCCGGGTTATTTTCTCCCCCTCCCACAAGCTGCAAACTCCCTGAAGCCAGAAGGAAGGAGGCACCCCTTGCAGCCCCACCAGCCAGGGAGGGGGGGACAAACCACCCACACCACCACACATGTAATACTGACACTTTTATTGTCATTTAAAGCTAGAGTGGCCTTGTAAATGTCGAGTTTCACTACTGGCCCCATAGGCAGTGGCTAGATGGGGAGGGAGCTGTGCTGCCACCAGGCCAGAGCCACGTGCTGCCTCGGTCACCTCGGGGCCCCCCTTGCCCACGGGCACAGCCAGGGATGGCTGCAGAGGGCCTCCAGGAGGGGGATCCCCAGGACTCTGGGCAGAGCAGCGACGGTGGAAGGCTGAGTGGGGGTTTTTTTTTGGGTCTCTCCTGGTGACTGCAGCTTCAGCCCTCCCCTGGGCGGCTGGCAGGGCTCGGTGGTGAAGGTGGGTGGGTGTTTGGGTCTGTTCGGGGGGGGTTGGGGGGGATTTTTTTTTCCATTTTTTTTTTTTTTTTAGTTCTCCACTGGAACACCCTTCAGCAGAGAAACTGGAAAAGCTGCCTGAAAGTAGGCCATAGCAGTGCCGTTTCCATAGAAACCAGTTCACAGCGTGCCGTGAGATCCACAAGCACTGGAGGTGCCTCCACCCGCCGAGGTGGCTACAGCCGGTTGTCCCCATTGACCCGGGTCCTGCGCAGCACCCTGCAGGGGGCAGAGACAGGGGACACAGCTCAGGCTCCACCCCTCAGAGTCAGAAGACACCCCGTGAGGACTCGGCCTGGGGCACCAGGGGCACGTGCCACGGGCTGTGGGGTGGCAGCTCCTGGGGTGGCAGCTCCTCGTCCCACCCCGCTGCCCGCAGCACCCGGCACGGTTACAGGGGAGGGTGCCAGGCAGCAGGCAAGGCTCTGGGTTAGCAGGAGGCTGTGCTGACCTGCAGACTGGATTGGTGGGAGCAGGGGGCTGAGGCTGGGGAGAGCTCTGTGAGCACTGTCCTACCTTCTCTCCCGGCTCTCCAAGTGGTCAGCCAGCTGCTCCTGGGACACACGGAAATCCTCGAAGGGCTGCTGGTAGCGGGACTCGAAGGAGCCCTCTCTGCCTCTGCTCACCAGGAGCTGGCTGGAAGCGTCCCCTGCTCTGTCCCGTAGGGCTGAGGCACTGAAGAGGTTTATTTCACCGTTCTCCTGCTCAGAGCAGGAAAAACATGATGGTAGTAAAGGGCTTGGAGTTGCAAAGTAAAGGCAGTGCTGGTGCGGGGCCCTGACTGCTCTATGAGCTGCCAGGAAGGGTGTTGGGGGGGGGGCTCCGGGTCTGTGTTGGGGTGGGGTCTCAGGGTCTGTAAGGTGCAGGTCTGTCTGTAACAATGATCACTGGCTCCCACCAGCATCATTTCAATGAAGAAATAAAAGAAATGTGTCTCTGCAGGAGCCCTGCCCTTCACTTACGCCAACACAGACAGCCCTGGGCCAGCCAGGCTCAGTGAGACTGGGCTGTAACCTCCCCAGAGTGCACCCAGGGACTGGGACAGGGCAAATCTGCCTGCTTCAGCTTCTGCTGAAGGGATTTCCAGCCAAGTCAAGCACAGCCCAGGCAGGACCCTGCACTTCCCACCCTACCAGCCCTCGCTACATCACCCCAAAGCAGCGTGGACCCCTTGGCCATCCTGCACAGGCTGGGGCCAGGCAGTGCTGCCCGCCCCTGGTCCTCAACCCTGTGGCACAGTTGCCTTCTCCTGCATGAGCCAGCCTCACCTTGCTAGGGAAAATGTCTATCTTGACAAGCAGGGAAGCCAGCTCCAGGTTCTCACTGTAGTTGTTCTTCAGGGGCACAGCTCGGAAGCCTGTGGCAGAGACAGGGCAGGTGTCAGGCGTGGCACTGGCAGTGATGGCACTGCCCTGGCAGAGACCTCGAGGGGGCTGCTGACAGGACAAGGGGCAACAGGCACAAGCCAGAATGCAGGAGGTTCCACCTGGACATGAGGAATAACTTCTTTCCTTTGAAGGTGACTGACCCTCAAACACATCGCTCAGAGAGGTCCAGAGTTCCAAACTGGCCTGGACACGATCCTGGGCACCCTGTTCTGGGTGAGATGGTCCTCAGAGGACCCCATTCTGTGTCTCTGATTCTCCAAGCCCCCTCCCTCATCTCCCCTCAGGTGGCAGCAAGCCCTGAGGGATGTTGGCAAACGGCTCCTTCCTTCCTTTGCCTCCTTAGGGATGGGACCTGGCACAGGGACAGGAGGGCCTGAGCCAGCCTGGGGCCTGGCAGCATCCTCCCGGGCAACTCAGCACCTCCCTGGCTAACGATGCAATCAGCAGACCCCCTAACACCCCCTCCCCGGGCTTCCCTGAGCCCCTGACCTGTCTTCAAGCCTTTCACCAGGAAGGTGGCCTGGGCCAGGAAGTTCTCATCGCTGAACATGTCCTCCTCATACACCACGAAGCGCAGGAAGGCGAAGTCAGGGTTGCTGACCTGGAAGTGGAACTGCTTCGGGCTCCAGAGAGGGTTCAGGCCGTTGTCCGCTGCTCACCAGACAGCTCGGTCAGGGGGTGGCCCCCGCCGTGCCCCCTCTGCCCACCACGGGGGCAGGAGGGGTCCCCGGGTGCCCCCTCCCTGCCCTTTGCCCACCCACTCACCCACGATCTCTGTTTTCTGCTTGGCGTTGTCGTACTCGGCGCCGGACACCTCCACCTCCACGAAGGGACAGACGATGCCCCTCCCGTTTTTGGGGAGGTGCCGGGCTCCCAGCACCTGGGCAGAGAGCAGGAGAGACTTGGTAAAGCTGGGAGCAAAGGGGGAAAAAAACGTGTGTTTGCTTAGCAAGGCGTTTTCTTCCCAAGCAAGGCACCCTGGCTCTGCTAACTGCAGAGAGGAGAGCCACCGACAGCCAGCCCAGCCTGCCTCTTGGAGAAACCAGCTCCCAACACCCCTGGGAGCTGCTGCGAGCACCAATTTGACTTGAAAACATAAAAAAAAAGGCAGCTGAACTGCCCCTGGTTCCTCTCCAGCTCCTGCACAGCCAGCGTTGG